AAACGAGTCAAGTCGAGCTTGAGTCAGGAGGTGTTCGAGTCGAGCTCGACTGCCAAATACCAAGCTTGAGCTCGAGCTTGAGCTCGAGCTTGAACTTAGGTCGAGCTCAAAAGACAAGCTCGATAGCTTATCAAGCTTTGTCTCGAGCTCCGTCCTAAGCAGTACGTAACCTCCGTCTTCACAAGCTCTGTCAACACGTCCACTATTGTCTCGAGCTCCAACGTCGTACTGAGCTCCGTCGTCGTCTCGAGCAGCACGCGAGCTCCATTGTCTAGCTTTGTCATCCCAAGCTCCGTTGACGCATCCACTATCCTCCCGAGATCTAATATTTACACGATCTCCATCGTTGTCCTGAGCTCCGTCACATCCGAGAGTGGCTCGACGAGCTCACAAGTCGTGGAGTTCTGTTTGAGCTTGATAAGTCGTCAAGCATGAAATTCTGTTCGAGCTTGACTCATTGAGCCTATTAACGAGTTGTGTCCGAGCCAACTCATGAGTCGGCTTGACTCGGTTACACCCCTAAGTTTAATTTAATCTAGCTAGCTTAATTGTAAATTATGTCAGGACATCTTTAGTAAAATTTTTTTTCAAGACGACCTTTAAAACAATTTAATTTATTTTGTGATAATTGTAATACATATTGTTTATATATTGCACTCATGTTAAGTAGATTTAAGGGTTTTAAAGTCCATCTTGATAATTTTTAATGTCAACAAATTTAATCAAATGTCCATTTACTTTTCATTGATGAAGAGGACATGCAGATCTCATTGAGAAGGGTGGTGTGATCGAGGGGTGTCAATATTTGACACGACACAAAAACCCGACTTGAACCCGACCTAGAAATTTTGGGTTTGACCTGACCCGATTTCAAAACGGGTCGGGTTCGGGTTGACCCGACGGGTTGTTGGGTCAACCCGCAAACCTATTTAAAATGAGTTGCCTACACTGCCCCGGCTGCCCGCGAACTTGCCCCGACTGCTGCCCGCGTATCGCATGCGCCCTGCCAGGCCCTCGCCCGCCGAGGCCGCCTGCACCTGCCAACGAACGCGGCTGCGCCCGAGGCTGCCCGTACACTCCCCCGCGCACCTTCCCACATGCACTCGAGCACCTGCTCATGTCGGCCGCGTCTGTGCGTTCCGCCGTCCCGTGTCAGGTCAGGTCAATCCGGCAACTCGACGGGTCGGGTCTGGGTCTGAATTTTTGATCTGTTTACATACCCGTGTTGGGTTAGGGTTGACCAATTTGAACCTGAGGCAGTTCTAGGTTCGACCCAAACCCGGCCCATGACCCAAAATTGACACCCCTAGTGTGATATATGATGCATCGCTTTTTCTTCCTCATCTTTTATTCGTCCGATTTTTTGTGAAACTCTTACAAACTCCTTCACCTTTAATATTCGCCAACCCTCTATCCTATTGAAAACCTAGATTCATCAAAGATTTTATTAGGGTTATTAAAAAATGGCCAAATAAGTGAACTTGGCCTAAAAAAAATCAAGTTTAGGTTGACTTGTTTTTAAAAAATGAGTCAAGTTCGAGTTGACCTGCAAATCAAATTTTGATATAAAAATGACCCATTTAATTTTTTTACTTTAATTTTTTTTTTCTTGTGGGTATAATCTTCTTATTTTTTATCAAATATTCTAAACTTTATAGTTAATAACTTATAAAAAAATTATATTAAAATGTTTAACAAGTCGAGTTCAGGTCATTCAGATTGCTAGCGTGTTTTGTTAGGGTTAGACTTTTGAACCATTTCTTAAATGAGTCAAGTTTGAGTTGAATGGATTCAGGTTGGGTCAATTTTGGTTCCGTGACAACCTGAACATATATAACCTGATATCACACAGGTTATATCATGTCCGATTGTGACAAGACTTACTACAAGATCTGTTTGGAGAAGTACTGAAATAAAACTTCCAATTTATATGCTACATAGAGCCACTATTGATATGCAATATAAAGTGAAACACTACTGAATCTCAACATGATTTTTTGTATATCATCCAAAATATATAAATCTGAAATCTATCTACAATAGCGCTTAACAATATATAGCATAACAAAAATAAGAGTCAAGCCCGCAAATCAAAACTAACTAAAACATACCTACAACATAGATTGAAGCGTGTTACCCTTCCCCGGGCCTGAAAATAAAAGCAAAATAAGAAATGAGCTAAGATGGCTCAGTCAGCTATCATAGCCTAAAATAAAAATCAATGACCAAAACTAAAAAATTGATAACATTGTGCTAAATTATATACTAAAATTAAATACAATTAAATAATTACTGAAATGAACTAAATTATAAGCAAACACTTCATAATAGAATCCTACCTCTGTAGCCCATTGGCTCTATCATAACAACACATAGGTAACAGAATCTCACCGCCAGAATAAAATCACACCTCGATCATCTACTAGCGCCAGCATAACATAATCCCACCTTGGTTGCTAATAGGTGTCGGCATAATAGAATCCCATCTTGATCGCCCACTGGCGCCATCATAATAGAATCTCACCTCTGCCATCCACTGGCGCCGGCATACGGCATAACATAATCCCATCTCAGCCGCCCACTAGCAATGGCATCACATCATAACACTTCACGACATTTTTTTAAATGTATTGCATTAATTAAAGCATAATTAGGCTCAATTCAGAAATGACCAAAATGTTGAAATGATAACCAACAAAAATTCTTCTAAGCAAAATTTTATTATTTTCAGTTGTAATCAAATTATCAGAGATTATGTAAAACATCATTTTGAAGCTTTAATTGAACTTAAGCACTAATTTTATATGTAAACAGAAATTTCTAAGTATGCAAAAATCGTTGCTTTTTCAAAATCAACCTGTAAAAAATTTTCAGAATATACTCAAAACATTTATAGTCACAATCTATATAACATATAAATTGTTACGCTGTGAAAGTTTTATCAAAATAAAGTTATCATCATTTTTCTATAAAGAAAATATAAATTTGATCGGAAAAATATCAAAAATATAAAATTATTAAAATCTAAAATATACAAAACGTAACCTACCTTGAGACGAGCAAATTTTTCAACCGAACCGATAGACAAAAATTGCTCTATGATCGTCAAAACAAAGCTTCCTTTCTTTTCTCACCTCACTTTCTTTTCATTTTCCCCAAATTCTTCTCTGTTAAACCAAATGGAGAAGCTTATTTAAATGGCATTTATTAAATTCATAATGGTTTTAGATTTTTTATTATAAAATAATAATATAATAAATTTTTAGTATAAAACTCATAGAAATTCTTTTAGCAATTTAAAAATTATAAAAAAAATATTCATAAAATAACTTATTCTATTAAAAAAATTCTTATGAAATTAGTTTAAAAAACATATATCTAATGGCCCCCAAACCTCCACTTGTAACTTCAGGTTTCAATTTCTTAAGAAATTTTATCAATGTCCGAAAATTATGAAAAAATTAAAAAAACTAAAATACAATAATAAAAATATTATGGAGAAGACGGTTTATGATTTGAACTTATAATGTCTCTTGAATAAATTCTTGACTGTTATAATTGAATATGCAATTTTCAAAATTTTTAATTATAACTGGTTTATACCCAAATTCACCCGATCAACTTATCTTGACACCCCTAGATTTCATCAACGATGATTTATCTCTCATCGTCGTTACTGAGATTGTAATAAAGAGGATGAAAAATGAGTTATTATTTATATTATTTAAAGTTTTAAAAGTAATATCAAAGCACTTTTTTCCCTCTAAGATAGAAAATTAATCATTGGTTCACTCACAATTTGATGGACAAATGATCTTCAAAGAAAAAGAATATTAAATCTGCTCGAATAAAAATGCTTTCTTTATTGTTTTTATAATAAAAAAATTGCAACCAACTCAATTTTGTAAAGGTGCTTGTGAAATAATGGTAGAAAAAATAACTTTTAAAAAATATATATTTTAAATTGAAGATGTACCTTTTAAAAGAGATGACACATTAACGATTGTATCTGTTAAAAATTAGGGAAATTACATACATACCACTTTATTTTATGCTATTTACATATCTAATATCTAAAATATTAATATTACATACCTAACACCCATATACAACTTTAATATCAAATATATCACTCCTATAATTCATTTATATCATTCATACAATCCTATAAACTTTAATACTTCATTCCATGCACCCAAAGTTATTCTATGGGTGGTAATCATGTAATATTAATGTTAGATATGTAAATAGCATAAAATAAAGTGGTATTAATTTAAAACCCCCTAAAAATTAATATCCTGTCACAAAAATGTCTACAAAACAATGAAAAAAAATGACAGTAAAATAATAATAAAATGAAACTATAATTATAATCTAAAAGGAAAAACAATGAGAAAAAAATTATTTGGGATAACTTTAACTTTTTATAAAGTTCATTATCAAGTTGTGGGAATCTAACTTTTAGAAGCTATCATAAAAAATAACTTCCTAATATAATTTTTTTATTAAAAGCAATGAAAAATAATAGCCAAACAAAAGCTATGATTGCAAATTGAAAAACAAAATGGTAAAAAAATATCCCAAACACGAACTTTTATTTGGTGCGGTCACCTAACGTGGCTCTACGTTCGGACGCCAATAAATTAGTGCCACGTGTTCTCACTATTTACCGCGCGGCCCGACAACCCGACCCGGAATGGAGCCGGGATTGCCATGTTTGCGTATTGCTAGGTATTACTCGGTATTACTAGGTATTGGTCGATTTTGCTCGGCAATAACGAGAAATATCATTCTGTGAGGACCAATATCGAGCAATACCAAGATTTTTCTCAGTATTGCTCGGTATTTCTCGGTATTGGACTTGACCGAGCTGTATTTCTAGTTATATAAAAGCAATTATCTCCTCATTTCTAAGGCTGTTTGGATAGTAAAAATTGATATTTTATTAAATGAACAATAGCAAAGAAAAAAGATAGCCTTGCGTTACACGAAGACAATGTGGATTAAGAAATCAGAAGCCAGAAAAAGCTACCGCACATGACCAAATGTTCACAACTAGCAAGTATTTGTGAAAATAACACTTTCAACGTTCACTTGAGCCAATTGCTTAATACGGGACCCAAAACAACTGTCACCACCGCAAGGAATCCTATAAAGCGAATAAAAAGCAAGAGGAACCCCACCAAACCAAGAAAACCAGCTCACATATTTTCATGGTGCTCTTCTCATGGCTACTTTTGCCGTCCATTTCTAATCTTTTTCACAATAACTTTTACTTTGAAAGCTTTTGTTAGTGCCCACTCTTCCTAATTCTCTAAAATATCTCTGCATGGGAGATCTCAAGTTGCTCAAACCGACATTATTTCTTCTATAAATACCCTTCAATACCTACAATAGCCCCTCCATGTCTCTAGTTACTCACAAACCTCTTCTACTTCTGCATGAAAAAAATCACAATCTTATACATACCTCAGCATTTGCTTCTTGATTGAAAGGGTCTTCTCTTTGTTTTAAGCCAGTTTAATGGCAGAGAACTTTGATACTCAGCTGGTGAGTCCTCTTCCTTCATCCATTTCTTGCTGGGTCATGTCAAATCCCCGAGCTTCTAAGATGAAGCGCAGGGCTTCGACGGTCTTGAAGAAGACATTCTCCTTCATAGTGAACATGGTGAGGGCCAAGTCCATGTTAGCAAAGGGAAAATGCAGTGCCATTAAGACTAGGCTCCTCATTTTCGGGCTCCTGCGAAACAAGAAGGTTATTATGACTGCAATAAACCATAAGATACATGCTATCATGGGCCAGGAGAAAGGAAAACAAGCCGAGAATGAAGAGGACTACAGCAAGGCAATTGTGCTGTACAATAATGCAGAGGAGGCGCCTTCAAACACCAGTCCCTTGGAAGCTTTTCGGTCCTACGAAGTGGAAGATGAAGATGATGACTATCCAGACCTTCGTCACTCACTCTTCGACTCGGAAGATGATGATGAAGACGATGATGAGCTTGTAAATGGCACTGGATCTGTCATAGATCTAGTCAGGAATTCGAGGGAGGATGGCACTGAGTTCAAGCTTGAAGATGAGATTGACCATGTCGCTGATGTGTACATCAGAAGGTTCCATAGGCAGATGAAGCTGCAAAAACAGGAGTCTTTGAAGAGGTACAGAGAGATGCTTGCAAGAGGCGTCTAAGAGCTCTTGACTGCCATCATTTTAGAACTCGTTTTGCATGGTTCTGCTACTAGTCACATCATTATCATCAGCTTCGTTGGAGCTCCAGACACTTCTTTCCTTTGATATTTTACCAACTCAGAGGAAGCAACAAGTTCATGTGTCATCATGTATGTTAACAAGTTTTTTTTTTTTTCCCCTCGCAAATTCTGTAATCTCATTGCAATAAATATGTAGTTCATATATCTGCTAGTATTAATATTCTTTTGTGAGTGATGCGTGATGGACTGTCTCTGTATCAACTCAACTGTTATCATGTATGTCAACAAGTTCTATTATTTTTTTTTCTCTCGCAAATATTGTAATCTTCTGTTATCTCATAGCAATAAACTATGTAGTTCATATATCTGCTACTATTAATCCTCTTTTGAGGTGTGCTTTATGTAACTATGAATATGTGATGGCCGAGTTTCAAAATAGTGAAAACAAATAAAAGAGATAAAATAAGAGTTTTTAAGACAATAAAGAACATCCACGAGTGAGATTCTAAAGGATGTTAGCAGAATTATCAAGAAAGTACTAGAGATCGGGTTTGCGGCAGAGTGGTAAACGGAAGAAATTCCTCCCATATCATCCAGACTCGAAACCCCTAACTGTCCAAAAAAAAAAAAAACTCAAACCCCCTAAGTTGAAAACCATCTTTACATAAAATGAAGAAGATAGTGTGAGAGGCAAAGATCCAGTTGTTTATGCAAGAAATCTAGATTATTTGAAACTAACATTTGCATGTTTTGGGAGCACAAAATATTCATTTTTATCGGCAAAACAAAATGTCCAAAGCTATGCATCAAGTAACAATCAAAACTGAACTGGGCTAGACTATGTTGAGTGGATGCACAGAAAGCATAAGGAAGGAGTTCTGTACAAGAAATTTCTACCTAAACCAACAAAAAACATGAGATCAAAAACCTTCCTATGCAGAGAGAAATGCAAAGCTTACAGCACAAACATGGTGAAGCATGGTCTTGCATATGCTTCACCAAAGATGCAAAAGCTTGCAGTAATTGAGCTGTTGTTGCGAGGCAGTAATAGACACAGTAAAGCTACCAGAATTTATGTCCGATCTACTCCTTCAAGCTTCTTGACCAAATCAGCAACCTTTAATCCTTCATAAAGTCGTTCCTCTGAACCATGCAAACCTTTCAGACTGTCCCATTGCTGGTTTGTGCTTGTGCTCCATGGCCGTGTTGGACTTCTCGTGTCTTGAGGCAGAATAATCCTTGAACCTGCTAACAGGTGATCTCTTAGCTCCTTCACAGAAATGTATCTCTCAGCATCCTCATCTATGTTAGCATTGCTTCTAGAGGGCCTTCCTTGCTTCCAATCATGAGAAAAATCTTGAGAGGACTTTCTGGAGCTTTCTTCTTTCTCGTTCCCAATGCTCTTAGATGCCTTATTACTACTATTTTCACTTCCCTCATTATTTTCTTCAAAACTTCTGCAATAATCAGCAGAACCAGTAGCATAACTCCAATTGAAACTTCTGCTTTTGCTGTCCATGTTGAGCTCTATTGAATGGAGATCGCAGTCCTCTGAAAGTTCTCCCGTACTTATTTTTTCTTCATCCTCTACCGTTTCATCAACCTTGTTTGGACAAACCGTACTTTGTTCCTCAACTTCAAAATCTCCTGCTGGAGCATCATGTCCTTTCCCATCTCCACTTCCCTTTTCAGTGGTTAGGAATGCTTCAAGCTCATTCCTCAACCGATCAACAGCAGCGTTCTTCTCCTCGAATTGAAGTTTAGCCTCTGATAGTTTCATTTGCACCCTCTCCTCACGCCACTCATCTGCAAGCTGGAGCATCTTCCTTTCCTTCTCTAAATCTTCTAGGACCTTAGCTGACTCCCTTTTCAATTCTTCCACTTCTTCCTTTCCCTCGTCAATCCCCCTAGCCAACTCATCACAAACATGTTCTACTATCTCCCTTGTTCTCCTCTCACATGCAAGTTCATTACCTGTATTGAGCAAAGAAGTCCTCGTCTCAGCCAACTCCATTGCTAGCTTTTTATTCAGCCTCTCCGCTCTTCTCCTTAATTTCTTCTCAGACTCAAGTTCCCTCATGATGGATTGGATGGAAGAACTGATCATTTCTCGCTCCCTGTTCTTCAAGGTTTGGATTTCAAAAGAAAGCTTCTCTTTTAGGTAGTTGTTAATATCACTGCATATTGATCTCTGTTCGTCGAAAAGTTGATCGCCATTCAAAATGGCTTGCTCAAGTTCAGCACGAAGAGCTGAAAAAACAGTGAAGACCAAGTTGTGCTGCTCAGCTGGTTCCCAGAAGCGGCTGAGAATTTTGAGAAGTTCTTTTGATGTTGATAGAGAATTTCTCAGATCCTTTAGATGCTCTTTGGCTAACAAAATTGAATTTTCTGGTATGAAACTTTGAGAATGAAACTCACTCTGTAATTCAAAAGCATGAGGTTTTACAAACTAGAATCACTAAGGATATAAATTAAAAAAATAGAAATTTGTTCAGAAACATCGAAAGACCCTAGCTTTTACAGGAGAAAATCAACAATAATTAAAAGAAGAATAAGATACAAAACATTGAACTGTAACAAGTAGTACTTCTTATTAGCACTTCTTTCCAGCTGGCTCCAAACTATATGATGGATGTATAATCCCCATTTTGAACTCAAAACCTATTTGGTTGCAGGTAAATGGTGACTTGAAACTAAAAGACACTTTTGCATGTGAGCTTGTAGCCAACCAGCCAAGTGAGGAAATGTTGCGTTACTTCGACTAAAGAAATGATCTATAAGAAATTTTTCCATCTACCCACCCACTTGGTCTCAACTTATCAGGACATGGGAAACGCTACTTCATAAGCAGACAACAGAACTTCCATGGAAATGACAACTGGATTCCCCTGCCCAATTCTTCAGGCTACTTCTTTCATCCATTGTCTACATAAGATGCACATTCGCAAACCTTCTAGTTTTCCTTTACATGATAGTATCCGAATTAGTCCGAAGCATAAAAGGGCATTGGCAAATATCGAGGTTAGCAAGGCAGACAGCTGAAGAAAATTGATCTAGCAAGCAGTGGCTCTAGGATGTAGCATTTGTACTGTACTAAAGTTGTATATTTCACCAAAGTATATGCACTTTGATTCTCAGGATAGAGGTCTTAGATTTTAGTGTAGACTTCGAACTTTTTTAACTAATTATTCAATACCTCCTTATGTGAAATTCGATCTTTAACTAAGATTGTCTTTATGACCTGCTTATAATTAATATAATACGTGAGATATGTTTATATGCTTATTAAAAAAACTCATTGTATATTTCAGATTCCAAATGCTTTTAATTTAACAAAATTAGTTACTTCTAGCTCCGGAGCTAGGAGCAAGCATGGGATAAATTAAACACTCAAATGTTTAAATAAAAGATGTTCATTTCTTGCTGCCTCTAGCAAGTTTGCCAAGAACAATTTTACAACCACCACTTAAGCACAAAATATTCCTTCCTCCATGTGTGCCTTTTTTTTTCCCTTAGGCAAATTGAGGAGGATGAGGCTACAGAAGCTGAAAGGTGAAAAGCCACTGAGTTAGAAGTTTTGGAGGAAATTCAAAGAGAAAAAGACCAACAAACTGGAACAGTAGCAGAAATCTTCATGGTAGACACTCGGGAATAGCGATGCAAGGTATCATCGTCGTCATCATCATCATCATCATCCTAAAGTCTAGCATTTGACCTTCGTATTTTGGGCAATTTTGTCAAGATGTTATATTATGGGCCCATATGTATAGAGTGCTAACGGGTTTTTGTGTATGATGTTATATTGGGCTTTTTTTATGCCATGACTCATAAACATTGTTCATGTCATTAGGAATGTTAATAGACATAGTAATGGTGGCAGGTATTTTGATAATGGAAAGTATGATAATGGTGGCAGGTATGATTATTGATAGGATTTCAAACAATTCATATGATCGGCGCAAATATTGAAGCTATATTCAAATTAAAAACTTTTAAAATTAAATTCAAGATCATCCCAATATTGATTTTAGCAAACTTATAATTGAACAGAACGTCTCGACAAGACAAACCTAACGACGCAACAAATGATCCAATCTGACTCCAAATAAGCTAAAATCAAGCACTTGAATTATACTTGAACGCTTCTAAAAATAAATTGTTGAGTCAAACAACATCCAATTATATCATGCTTATTGTCAAATTGAGCAGCTTGACAAGACGAATCTAATGAGCCTAAGATCATTTAATTCTGACATCATTAAAGCACTGAAATATTTAATTTTTAATATATAATTAAAGGGATCAATATGAATCGTATAATGGAAATATGGAATTACCAAAATGCCTTTCTTAGCAAACTTATAAATAGAGCTACTTTATCTACATAAGAAGAGGCTCAATAGCTAAGAGAACTAAAAAGCACTCTTACATTTTCTGGCTAACACTATCAACGACCACCACCAATAACCATCACCAGACATTTGTCAACATTTAACCTTGTTGTTAGGTATTAACTTGTCCGTCTTTGAACACCAGACTTCTGAAATCCTTACAAGTGAAATCAAACAATTTTTGTATAATCATTTATAATTATTCCCATCTTTTTTCAATTGTAATGAAGGGAGGATTCTTGTATCTTATATTTGATATTAGATTATTGTAACTGGGCTGGAAGCCGTGTTTTTTTCTCTTCTTGGGTTTTCCATATAAAAAACTTTCTTGTCTTCTACAATTTTTTTTTTATGCTTGTTGATTTTTTTGTGAAAAGCTAAGAAATTAAACAACAACGCTACAATCATAAATTTTTAAGCATGTAATAATTTGGCAGCGTTTGTGAGAAATATTCTCAACATACTATACATACTTCTTTACGGGTGGATAATCAACCCCTCAATCAAAGACAACATAATATAGTTGGTGAAGGCCCCCTGGACCTTACTTTGGAGGAGCAAGTATGTAGGATGGAAGAGAATTAAATTCAAATCCTAAAACTCTTAGAAGAAGTTGGACAACAAAGAGACATCAGAGTTTGATGGAGTTGTCCCACTATAAAATTAACAACAATTTGAGAATGATGCCACTCATGCAGTACCTCCTCCATAATAACCTCATCAAGATCACTCGAATACAAACCCGTTCAACACATATTTCCCATATTGTTCGATCCTCCACCAATCATGGAGGATTTAAATCTTCATTTTGTTGAAAGCTCTCAGTGATGTAATAAGAAATATGTTATGGAGACTTATCCATGCAGAGTCCTTTAAGAGAAAGGAATCAACTTACTCCTCACCACAACTTTCAAAAATCTTCACCACTAACCAATGTAATTCTTCAACATCCTATTCCAATGGAGTTTAAGTTATTCACAATTGATCTATATGATCGGACTTCTAACTCCTATGAGCATATTAACTATTACAAGACAATCATGAACATTCAACATGCCTCTGATGAAGTCCTTTGCACGAACCTCCCTGTAACTCTCAAGAGATAAGCACTTACATAGTTGTATTCCCTTTCAGGTTAAACTATTCATACTTCGCCGATATAGCCAAACTTGTTATTAAACAATTCATTAACAACCAAATGTCATGAACAACTCCTCTCATATGGTATTCACCAAAACGAGGGAGAATCCCTTAAAGAGTATTTTAAAATATTTTTTCTGAAGCAAGAATTACTAAGATATATTTTCCTTAGATGTCTTCACCTTGAGCCCTTCTACTCTTTGTTAATACAAGAGTATGTTCGTTCCTATGCTGATCTCATTCATTGAATAGTTAGTCAAATAACTACTAGTGAGGCCATCAATACTCATTAAAAGCAATTCGAGCAATCCTCTTCCAAACATAAAAATGCATAAGAAATTAATTCGTATCTCCAAAGAAGAAAACAAAAGCAGTCAAAAGATCAAATTTAGCCATGGTTAATACATCTAGGGCAAGGACAAATATTCTGATAAAAATTCAAAATTCTAAACATCTAAAGTGACCAAAAGTTTTAAAGAATCTAAATAGTAGAGATTAATCTCAATGGTGTAAGTTCCACCGTTCAAAAGTGCATTCAAGAGAACAATGTTTAAAGTTAAAGCATTAGAGCAACTCATATTAGAGAAACTCATTGTTTATCAACTTAATTCATAAAGGATATTTACGTCATTATTTATTAGAGCAACTCATAGTTTATCAACCTCAAAATAAAGAAGACCAAATTAGTCGTGATAAGAAAATTGTAGAAATTATTAAATAGGAGTTCCATCGCATTGAAATAACTCAAAGTTGAGCACTTAAGAATGTTCAAATGAGTTTATACCTTAAGTTTTAGATTTTTTTAAATTTTATTTGATTTATGAATGAAGTTTTCTTTTTTTTTTTCCTAAATAATATTTCATCTAACAAAAATCCTAGAAAGCACACCCATGAGATAATCTCGATTAAAAATTAGAAGTGGATATGATCCTCACTAAGAAAACTCCCTTGAGGGAAAGCGGCTAATAGCTCTCCACTCAACCAAGGGAAGGAAGGCCCATGAGGTAATCTAAAATAGGAAGCTAATAGTGAATAAGGTCCTTACTAGAAAGATTACATGAGAGTAAACGATTGAAAAGATCTTCACTCACCCAAAAACCTCATAAATCACTGTTTAAAATCGCACAATATGAGACACACGACAGTGCAATTTTCCCAACAACGCATCAAGGCGCACGCCTTGACATTGTTTCATGAGTACACCTCAAATTTCCTAAGGCACATCTCGCTCATTTATGTGAGACTTATGCCTCAAATAAGATTTATTTTTTAAAAAATCTTAAATCTAAGTTAATATAACTACACTCGCTTGTACCTAGGAACCTTGGGCAATTCGTTGTTGTTGTTCGACTTTGCCTGCTTCACATTAGGCAGAGTTTTGAACAAATCACTAAAAGCTTCTTCACCTTCTTCGACAATGTTCCCTCCTTGTTGAATCGGAAATCAGCACAGTTCGACGATTTTCTTCATGTTGGATCAGAAGTAAAGACGAAAGCTTTGCTAGACGCAATACTAGCCATCTTTCTCCCCTTTCCCGTGCATTGTCGCTGCTCAACGACATTCACCTTCGATGTTGTTTAACTTCACCTGCTTGATTCAACAGCTTCGCCTCCTTCGACTCGTAAACGTCGTTGTTGTTCGCCTTCTACTGCTTTCACATTAGGCAATAACTAAATATATGTGGAGTATGGGGGATGAGGACATTATGGTGGATGGATACAATATGTGGAGTTGGAAATAGGGCTATAAGGGTGCGTGTTGTTGGCCGCGAATTAGGGGTTGCTTGTAGGTTTGTGCTTGTTGGAAATTTTTTATCGGGATGCTAATTGTTGAGGCATGATTCCTCCCTATGGAGCTTCGGGATTGGACAACTGTGGTTGGGTAATTA